GATGTGTTCTTGGGTACCTGTGATGAAATGGCAATTAGAAGCTGCTCCTCATGTATCCATTCCATAGCCCTGTGAGAAGCACATAGTTGTTGTATCCTCTCTGACTGGACTGAGCTCAGCCCAAGCCTCCCTGGAGAGGAGGCAGGGAGTAGCCATGGGGTGAGACCAGTCTTTGGGAGACCTGTGGTGCCCATCACAGTGCCAAAAAGCAGCTGGTGAAGTCAGAAGTGGGGAGAGAGAGGGAGAGCTGGGGAGCTGGTGCCACTGTGGTGGTGGTGGGGATTTACACCTGGAAGCGCAAGGAGGATCTGCGAGGCAGCTGGAGGGTAGACAAGTCAGCAGCCTGCAGGAGGGAGCAAGGTAGGAAGATGAAGAGAGTGCAGGGAGGAAAAAGGGAGGCCAAGCACAGAGCCTCTCAGTCCTATGGCAGCTGAGGAAGCCCCTCTTCATGCCAGTCTGGGGAAATGCTGTATGCTGGAGTCAGTCTGCATCTTTCCAGGCACTGCTCCTCCTTGGTGCCACCTCCCTTTCTCCTGCAAACCTGCCCAGAAAGCTCACCATCTCTTTCTGAGCGTCCTTGCAAAAGACAACTCACAGTTTTTTCCTGCACTTCATTCCCACTCTCCAGATAAAGCATTTTTGAGATAATAAAATGAGCTCAACACGATCCACCTAAGATCAGTATATATTTGATACAACATACCAGCTGTAGTGATGACACTGAGAAGTCCACAACATGTTATGCAAGAAGTTTTTCTCTTAAAGACATTGCAGTGAATCAATGTAGTGGAAACCTAATGGCTTCACACAGATGTTGTTTGCTTAAAATGGCTGGAGGGTCAAGTTCAGGCTTACTTTGTTCTACTAAATTACAGAACAAAGACTTGGCTGGTTGCTTAGTGAAATAATCTGTAATAGATACCACAGGACTGATTTTTTGTGTATATATGGGCATTAGAAAAGTGGGGTGGAGACTAAACATGCCTTACCCTCAAAATCAAGTAGAATAGATTCTCACCAGTCATATGGGAATCAGTGAAAAGTTGCAGACATGTTCACGAGATGGGAGATATCCTCAGCATTTTAAACAAGAAGCAGATGCAGAGGAGATGGCATTGATTATCTGTGATTCAAACCCGTTGATAGTGGAGGAGCCAATGGATCAAATAATATTAAATAAGCTGCACCCAACAGAGGCAATCAAGATGCTCCAGAAATCTTTGAGGCAAAAGGAATATGTCCAAAGGACTGAAAACTGTTATGGTGTCAGCATTTTCCCTTCTTGTGGGAGTAACTGCCCTGTCTGATCTGTTAGCAAGTATCTCGTTACATTAAACACAAATATCACTGTTTATAATGTCTAAGTGCTTCATTAGTACCGTAATATATTAAATGTAGAATTAAAGAAAGAGTAAACCTAGAAAATATCAAGCAAGACACTCATTACAGCCAAAATTAAATAGGACTGTCATCTTCACTACATCAATTAACTTTTCAATTCCATTGCTGACTTAGTTGTGCCTCCTTCATCTGTTACTTCAGTTCAACTACTTAAAACTGTATATAAGGACTGAAGCTTCCTACATGTATGTAGAAGCTTCTTAGTGTATGTAGCAACAATTGATAAATAAAAAAAATCCCACTTAAATACCACTTTATTCCTCGGGTCTGCTGGGTAAGCCAGACATAGACAGAAAGTTTCCACAAAAGATTCAGTTTTTACTGGTTTGAAAGAAATGTCTTTCTATTACCTTCGGATAGCACAGTCTGTACTACTGCAGTGAAAGCTGTCACACAGACTCAGCAAATACAGAAGTCATTCTGAAACAGTAATGAAGCCAAAATCTGGAAGAAATTCAAGTGTCATGTCTTTACACCTCCTTCCCTCTCTCAAAGTCAATGAATATGGCCCTTCATTTAAGAATGAGAGAGATTCACAGTTAACTCAATAGTCCTGTCACAGCTGTAGATATTTTTTCTTTTCGTTATCTAATTACTAGGGAAATGGTCTTCTTTAAACTTTGCATGAGCAATGAATCATTTGGCCATGGTGAAAAAAAAATATTATTGTACTAGATCATTAGTCTCATTATTTTCTGGGGTCAAAACTTCTCATATCCTGTAGCTGAGTGTTATTTCCAAGCCATCCATTCTAGTAATCAACCTTCTTGTTGTTTCTGATCTACTCTGTGATAACATCTATGTGTTTAAAGGTTTGATTTCTCCTCTAGAGCCTCCTACTCCTTCTCTCTGTCATTTATAGTTAATGCAGTATCCTGCAGCCTCCTTAACTGCTTGATATCAAGTCCCTTGTGCCCAGACACCTTGTGTTTATGCTTGTACCCGTGGCGCTTGAAGGACAGGACTTCCGTGGTGTCATGTTCTCCTCAAGAAAAAAAAATCTTTCCTGATTTTAGGCACTGAAAAAATTTAGTCTTTGTCCTTCTCCACAGGGAAGTTTCTTCCTGGCGCACCAAGTCAAACTGTGAATGCTTCATCCTACCGCTGGTTTAATTGTGCCATTTACCCATGCTCTGCCTGTTCTCATAAACAGGGCACATAGGAGGGGATGACTGTTGGATCCTTAAAAATAAAATCTTGGTTTTCTTGTAGTTGGCATAGGAGTAGTTGTTACAAAAAAGCTATAACATTCTTAGAAGTCTCAGCAGACATCTGAGATAACTCCTGATGCCTCTTCTGTGCCTAAAATGGAAAAAGATTAATCCAGATCTAAGCCTGTGTCTCCTGTGAGACTTCACTGAAGTTCACTTTACAAATCTTTACTGAACCACAGAACAATACACAACTGAATGAAATGTGGTGCATTGGTTAAGTAGAGAAACATGTTGAAAACAAATGAAACCATCTGAAAAGTGAGTTGAACAATTATTTCCATTCTTCTTTTCTAAAAATCACTGTGTACAGTAGCATAGCATCTTGAATAGTTAAGTACCCCTCAAATACAACACACGGGCAAAACAAGACCAGTCCTTCAATATTAAAAGCATTCCTGCTGTGTCACATCATGGCGCCTGCACGAGCTGAATTCAAGACTTTTTATTGTCAAGAGGCACTACCATTACACTACATTTTAATACGGATCTTTGCCAACAATCATAAATAAAACACACACTCATAAAAAATTCCTAAATGCAGTGTGTCAGATGGTATTTCATTAAAAAAAACCCCTTGCTGCAATGTAGTGGAATACTGTAGGCCATGGCTGGTTGGGGTTTTCTTTCCCCTTTGTATGCTTAGGTGTTTTGTTGGTTCCAAAAGGCTTTTTAGGTAATGTATGCCGTGCCTACCAGAAGATCCTTCATGCTAATGAATGAGAAATTCACAGCTAAAAGGCAGAGAGAATCAGTGCCATTTTCAAGAGCTGTCTAATGTGGGAAACCTGCAAAAGCTGTCAGCAGAACATAGAAAAAACTGTAAACGAGTTACAGAATGGTGACAACAAAAAATTAACCTGTGGTAAAATGAAAACTGTATTTGCTAAATACCTTTAAAGATTAAATATGTAAGTGAAAACATATTCAAATGTACTGATCCCTGTTATGTAAATTCTGAAATTTTCATGAAACAGAAAATGCCACTTGACACTAGATACAGTCTGTTGCATGGATTAAATAACCCGACAGCCTTTCTCAAACTCAGCAAGAAGCACATGAAATAAAAGACGAATGTCTTTGTGTTTACTAGAGTGCTGTGGTGGTCATAGCAATGAGGAGTTTTAAAAGACTTTAATTTTTAAAGTAACCTTCTGCTTTTCCTGCTCTCTGGACTTCTGCTGTGTTCCCAGCCATCAGCAGCTCACCACATACACTGAGAAGCGTAAGGCTGAAGTACCAGTACACAAAGCTGCATTTAGTAACTCATTACAAGGCTGACGTCACTGAAACAAAAGTTCAGTCACGTAGGGATGTGGCAGAGGTTATCATGCAGCACATTACTAATATACTGGGGGGAAAGATTATGTCAACTGCTTGCTAGTGTCCACATCCAGGATGCAATCTCCCCAGGGAATAAACACTCTTGGCAAGCACTGAAACTCAGAAATCTTCACAAAGCTGTTTGCAATTTGCAGCCAAAGCTATCCACAAATGCTGGGAATAAAGACTACAGTCCTTGACAGCACACAGCTCCAGACATTTCCATTGGGGAAGTTTAATCTACAAGGATGTAGAAATATAAAACAAAGTATTGCTCAAAGTAACTGTTTGTCAGATCATGTGCCTCTAATTTGGTTTCCAGTGACATTACACAGCTGCAGCCAATGGATTCCAGCCAGGCTCAACAGTCACTGAGGTTCTTTATTGTTTAAATTTAGTATCTGAACACGTTTTGTCCATCATTAAAATGGAGAGTAATTGTTCAAAAGTGAACTATAGATGTTACAACTGCAAAGAACTTATTAGGTCACCTAGTCCCATCCTCAGAGCAATGTAGGATTGAAAACACATTGCAACAAATGCTGAACAGAGCTATGTTTGTTTTCATTTTTGTTCCAATCCTTTTTTTCTTTATTGTAATCATTATCACTATATCCAAAAGTTTAAAAAACAAACACAAATGCCAGTGTAAACATGCTTCAGGTATATAAGTAATATAAAGTATTGCACATACAAAAGTCCTATGTTCGGTATCTCCTTATGGTGCTATCTCATCAGAGTAAGAGTTGTGCAGATGATGTGATTGCAATGAGCTAGCTAATCTTATTTCAGAAGCTGCTACACACAACAGTTAAATATTTACAAAAGCTAGAAGCTCACTGTCTTTCATGGAAGGACAATTTTGCCTGGAATGCATGGGATACAGAGGTGTGCAAATATGAGATAGGCTTGCTTTGTGGTGATATTTGTCGGTTGATCTCTCTAACCTACAAGGGGTCAGCTCAAACCCATTTAGGTGAAGGAGTCTGTTTAATGGTTTTCTGGAGGACTGGGAAGTGGTCAGGCCTCCCCAACCTTAGAAAACGGAGGTTCTTGCTTACTGTAAAATCTCGTGTCAGACTGACAGAAGTGACAATGTTTCATGGCTGCTCCTGTCCTGAAGTATTAGGAAGCAGAAGGGCAGTTTTCTAAAAGTGGCAGAATGGATGAGGCCATTTGCCAATTGAGAAGCTGAGATAGAAAGGAAAGAAGAGGAGCTCAGGAGAAGGCAAGTGTGGTGTAGATTTCAGAAAATGAACAATTCCTCATGAAGTTTACACAATGTAGTTAATTTCACACTCACAGGCAGCACTGGAAGACTCAAGCTTTCAGGTACAAATTTGCACATATCAGAGCTTAAAGCTCATATTGAGATAAGGACCATTTGCAGATAGAACAGAAATAATGAAACATTTCTTCTTCAGAACCCTTAACCGCGAAAAAAAAAATCGATCCTAAATGTATTTTTTTACTCTTTACCTCAAAATATTTTCCCTCTTTTTATGTTCATGTTTGGTTGGCTGGCATCCTCTTTTTCTGCATAAATACAAATTCTGCCCACCTTCCCTGCAAGACTTTGCTTAAGAAATAATTATATTCAGCCCTAAATTTTGCTGAAGTCATCACTTTAGAGATGCTGTCAGCTTGTAGACTGTAACATAAAAAAAGGCAAAGATTTCAAGTTACAATTGTGAGTAGCCATTTTAAGAGGCAATTTCAACAAAGTAACAGAGCAATGGAAAAGAAAATTTACCCCAGCCCCAAACCCCCTAAGACTTCACAACATCACCAGTGTGGCTGTGATAACTTAAAACAGTCTTTCAGAAATGACTGTATCCTGTGTTGTCTGTACAGCAAGATAAGAACAGGGTACCTCATCCCCTGCTCTATGTTGTGCATGGATTTAGTTATCTGGGTGGGATACTGCCAGCTCTGGGCTGAAAGAGATACAACATGTAGCTGTTTGTCATATGTCTCATCTCGTAAAGCGTTGCATAAATCTTCTGCTTTGCAAAACTCCTTGTAGCCAAGAAAGTTGTGTTCTGTGTATACAATGGGCTTACTTTTCTATTTACATGTAAAGTAAGGACATGATTTCTACTTTTTTTTACTTTCCTCTCTCAAAATCTATGTTGATTATTATTACAGATACTTATTCCAAAAAGGTGGAAAAATAAATAATTGTGCCCCATCTATAAAGTTTTTTATAGACTACCTTTGTTTTTCAGAAGTACTGTCACAGTACTGATACATTGCTTGTCTCCCTGAGCAATAATTTCATAAAAGTTCTTATTCTTAGGGAGGTTTCAAAGGTATTCCGTATGATACAGTAGCATTCAGAAGGTTTGTCCTGGTCCATCTGCTAGACAAAACAGCAATGAAGGCATTCTCTCCTTGAGAGATTTGGGCTTGTTCTGGAACCATCTCAGTATACCACACGTGTTCACAGGCATCTGCTGAAACGTAGACTGACTGGAATTGGGATAAACATTCTGTTCAGGTGCGAATAGGCAGTGATAAAGCTGCTTTCTTTGGCAAGGATGGCTGTCATGTGGCACGTTAACAGAACATTGCATAGATCAGATTAAGACACCATGTCACTTGCAGGTACAAAGGAAGGCTGGTGGAAGGAATCCTCCATTTAATCCTCATTGTGTTTCTAGTCTCAGGCAGGATTCTGACTTTAACTGTCGCTCTCTTCCTTTATGCATCAGTAGTCTTGTTATTTGTCAGCTGTTGCCTGTCAGCCATGTCATCTTGAGGTGGTCTAGCTCTGTCAAAGAATCCACACTGCAGAAAACAATCAACAGAAACAAAGGTGTCATGCTAAGACAACCACAGGAAGACTCAGCTGCAGTTTGATTCTTCACTCAGTCAACCTGAAAGGTCAGACACAACCTATGGCAGGCAGATAGACTGTGAAGATATTGCATTTTTATTCAAACCATTCCCTATGAAAAATTAGTTCTATGTACAAGGCATTGACTTCCAAAGTATAGCTTTAAAAATTCAAATTATATGAAAGATGTCTTTGCAGGAGATGTAAAGTTGGTCTGAATGCTGATACGGACTGATGCTAATGAGAAAATTGCTAATTTCAGTTCAGCAAGATGCTCATTCAGAAAAGGTATTTAGATTGACAAGCAGTAACAATAACAGAGGTGGAATGTGTGTTGGGAAATGTGCACAGGACAGTATTGTAAGCTAGGCTAAAGATCACTAAAGATGAGATCCTCTCACCTAACTTTAACTGCAAAAAAGTTACCCTTCTAGTCACCAGGTTGAATGTTCACATGAGGTCAAAGAAAGGTACTGCTGAAATTTGTCTCATCCTTGCATGTTTTAGACATAGCTTTTTGCTGCTGTTACCTGACTAGATGAATTTGGGAAGTTAGCAGAGACTGCACACCTAACCATAACCTTTAGGCTGCTAAAGACAGATGAGCCATATTCTAACTTAAGGAATTATTTTGAAGTTATTTTTTAATGTGAAATGAGAGGATGGCCAAAAGCTACACTGGCTCCCTGTAATAAAGCAGTTTCCAGTAACTTGTCTTAAAACTTGTGAAGGGAGTGTAACAACAACACAGAAACAGAAAACTTTAAAGCCAGAAGATATGATATACTAATATAAACTGAAATCTTCTAAAAATTAATTCTCAGAGCTGGGAATGTTGTTCCATGCTGACAAAAACTGGAAATCCCTGAATTATTCAGAGAAAACAAAAGTTAGAGTAACTTCTTTTTGAACCTAAACATCCTGAGAAAGAGGATCATAGGTCTTGGGAAACAGAGCCAAGCTCTGTATGCCCATTTATAACCAGACTTCAGTAATAAAGGAGGACTTTGAAAACAAGTTCCCTGCAAAAAGGTCAGTGACACTAGCATGTCAGAAATGCCAAAACAAAAAACCCACATGTATTGTTGCTTTTGCTCCAAACTGCTAAAGATTACACAATTCCAGCCTTTCTTTATCTTCTCTTCTAGTATCTTCCAGTATCTTTCAGGGTTTTTTAGGCAACAGTAACAGTAATAATACAGCATACCTTCCATAAAGCTAGGGTCAGCAGCGCTAGTACTAGTAGTCCAAGAAGTATGGCTAGTATTATAACCCATAAAGGGATTTCAAAGGAGACATTTGGGGTGGACCAAATAACAGATGTTCTGATCTGAAATGAAAAGAATACATTAAATGAATAAAAGTGAAGCAAGGAAAGCAAATCTGACAGTAGAATACAAAGGTTAAAAGCATTCACTTCAACAGCATTTTGCAGAATAGAAATGCACATTCCCTGAAATTCTCCCATGTTGGCTTCTTTTACTGTAAGTTCCTTTCCACTTGTTCATGGTAACTTTTAGAAATGGAATTCACACATACACAAAATTCATGTCATATCAGACAAACAAACCATTTTCCCTTAATACAGCGTAGCAAAAAATACCCTTCTGAGCAGATGCTTCAAGAATATTCAAGGAGCAAAGTTCTGCTCACATCCATGCTGGCACAGCCTAGGCCAGTGTAACTGAATTACACCGAACTATTCTGAAACAATGGTTGACTTCGGCCCAAACTCGTAATTCAAACCACAGTAGATACCAGTTACATTTTTTTAATTTAATTTCTGCTGACATACCAGTATACATTTTATCCGATGATTTGCATTTCAGCTAAGCAGTCCAAAAATGAAACTCAAGTAGCAGTTTATTGTCCTTGTGATAAAGCCTAATGCACTGAAAGATTTGATGTTCCTTAAGCCAAGCATACAGATTATTACCTAAGTGGGAAATAAGCATAAAATGCACTCTTTCCTTGTAGGAGGCTCTAGAAAGCAGCAGGTGCTAACATGAGTTATCAAAGGTTTTAACTGACTTGGCAAAATTCTCTCTTTAGACCTTCATGTGGACAAAGAGTAATAATAATCTTCCTGTTTTCCCCTTCTGGGGCCCTCCACGCTCTCGTCCTCACTCTCCCTTCCATATCTTTTACCAAATGTATTTTATGCTCTCAGACTCTGCTTGGAAGGCTCCTTGTCAATCTCACTGAATGTTTGCTCTGTCTCTACTTCTCCCAAGTGGGAAGGAATGAATTTGAGCTTTCCTTAGCTCTTTGGTCTTGAATATGTCCCTTCAATCTCAGTTTATTTTCTCAAATTTTCCTCTTTGTTGTTAGTCTAGGAAGTTATTTCTCTCTCAGGTTTTCTGTTGGACTTCTCTCATCTACTCCTAGTCTCCCTTAAACAGGGTAAGTATGTGATAGATGGAAGTTATTTTCTTTATGACATGATGAAATCAGTTACACAAACTCTCAAATGATCTTCCTCTTCAGTGCTCAAGGTACAGCTGGGAAATCTACTTTTCTTGGCTATTGCCCAGTCTCTGAGCTGCAGTCATCGCAAATTCTCTTTTTTTTTTTTTTTTTTTTTTTTACTGGTTGATGCACCCAAAATTTAACATAACACTGTTTTCTAATTTGTTCATTCATGGAACAGCAGCCTAAGTTTGAAGACTGGACACAACTCTCTAATTTAGCTCAAAACTGATTCCATTCCTGTGCCTCTCACTCCTCTCCCTGTAGATGGCCAATTTCAGTTTTTCTGCGACATCCAGCCCTTTCCTCTCTTCCTCTTTCTTTTGCTAGACTTTTCGTTCTGCAAGCACCAGTAGATCTGTCTCTAAGCTACTGTCATGCTTAATTGGAAGACACTTTGGAATAGTCCTTTGCACTCTGCAGCCAACTGCTCCATCCTCTGACATGATGTTTGCAAAGATGGCAGTCTGGTGAGCGTTACTGATGTACATGTTTTTTTATAGTATTCCTCATCGTTATGGGGAACAGAAATTAGTGACAACTTTATATGTAGGATACCACTTGCCTTCTACCAAAGCTTACCCTGAGAGTTACACAGAAAATTCCAAGACACTGCTGAGTCCTTCTGCTGTCAGCACTTTAACATTGGCCTGTACCCTGAGGATGAAGTGCTTGCAGTGCTGGCCATACCATCATGGATGTAACAAACACACTCACCTAACATGCATCTCTGGACCAGCTGTAAATACTTATTAGTATAAAATGTTTCAAAAGAATTGCATATACAAAGAATAAATGTTAGCTAATTAAACCAAGAAAAAATTATTTCAACACATGAAATCCCACCCCTGTGTCCCAACAGATATCCTGCTGGTGTGATCAAGTGATCAACTATGCCACTGTAGGAACACAGTTCCCTTCCCCAGCCTGTTCTTTGGGTCACTTCTTAACCACTGCAGAACTCCATAGGCTCTCTGTATCGTTAGATTCAGCAAGAGCAGTGCTCATTTAATAAGGACAAAATGTTTTTGAATAGCTCTACTTGTGGCTCAGAGTGGCATTTAAATACAAGGGCAGAGAAAATGAGAAAAAGGTCATCTGAACTGTCTGCAGAGATTCCTCCCAGAGGAAAGCCAGTTAGGGAAAATGATGAATGCAAGTAAGAGGTTAACTGGCCAGGGAAAACAGAAGGGATGCAGTTATGATGGGCTGCATGAAGCCTGTAGAAAGTAATGAGCTCAGCTGTACCAGGAAGAAAGCATCTCCCTTCTACTGCTTGAAAATTCTCATGAATGGTGTCCTGAAGCAAGCCTTGAAGGCCTGATCACATACAGCACAAGAGCTGGGAAGTGCTGATGAAAATTTATGGGCTCTAAGACAGCAAAACCAGATTCATTAAAAAACCCCAACTCATCCGTGCTGTGCACTTACTCTGTTGGTAAACTCTGAGGTACCACATGGAGGAAGTTACAAATTTTAATTATGGTTTGGAAGGAACCTGACATTGTCAACATACAGATTACATATCTTAACATTGTTGTGAAGCTGGAGCAGTAAAGCGATAGACCAGTTACCAAAACCATCTTAACAAATATTTGTAAAACAACAGCAAAAAGCAAACCCCAGCAGTACTTTTTGTCCTCTCAAGTTTGACAAAGTGACTCCATTTTACAGCAAGATCAAACCTGAGGGAAGATGCAAAGATTTTATTTCATCATTTCTGGTACTGATAGCTTCAGCCAAAGTCTTCTGAAATTGTTCATCCTGAATGTGGAAATTATCAGAATGGGCAAGTACTTCGTGGAAGAGGTTTTGGTTTACATATTTCTTCAGATAGTATTTGACTGAATCACTCCTGTCTCCTTGGGTACCAAGTCTACTCTCATCCAATCTAGGGGAACTACTTCAGCTCCACAGGTGCTCTCAGACAGGAGTGAAGTAAACTGCTGCCTGGTGTTTGAATATTTCACAGGACTACTTACTGATAGCACAGCAACAAGACTCATGTGCACCAGTTCACTGTTCAAAATTAGGTAGAGTCAATCCAGACTTCAAAGCCTGATTGAGATACTGCTGAAATCAAAGGAAACAGCCTCTTTCATCAGGGTCGGTGGATTTCATTAGGTTTTGGACAAAGCTGATAGCAGTGTATGCAGCTACAAGTATCTCTGCTGCCATTCCATGTCTTCTTTTATGTGCCACATCCTAGAGGTTTGCTGTATTTGTGTGTTGTTTTCTTTCCTCTTAGGCTACGAAAACAATAAGGGGAGTTAGCTCTTATGATAGCTATAGAGCACCTATCAGCATGGATCCAGATAAGAACATGTGGATCTTCCTGAGGATGCTAACCAATTATGAGTGCTGCAGTAGCACTCAGCCTTGCTTGTCCTGCCTGCATTCTGAATCCTTTCTCCCTTCTCCCTTCTTCCTTCTGTTGCTCTGCCTTTGCAGATAGTCGAGTGAAATTTGCAGTGTAATTTCAGTAGCTCAGCTGGAGCCTGACAAATATTGAAACATAAACAAGAAACTGTAATCTTATAGAAGTGCAGAGCATCATGTTTATAATCCTTAGATTATCAGCAATGAGCCAAACAGACAGCAGAAATTAGGTCTATCTTGTGTCAGGTAGAATGCTGCTGCAAAGCTGCCACATCTCTCTGCTCTTTTAGCCTGAGTGGGGCCAATGCTAATGAAGTATTTGCCTGCTAAAATCTTGAAACCATCCTGTCACACCCCTACCCTTTTTCCATGAATCCTTCTTTGTCTTAGGTTTTGAAAGTAAGGAAGGGTTGTGCTAAGTGCTTGAGATTTATTTCCTGAGCAGTGTATTATTTGTAGACATCAGTCTCACTCCTGCCTATATACCAGTAGAATACGCAGCCCCTGGGCTGCCCCCTTTAAACTCTACACAAAGACTTGCAAGGCTACTAATGCAATTGCTGGTGAACAGTTTGACAGGACAAGTCCTGAACACCCACAGAGTTGAGGCAGAAGCTGGAGGGGAATTAAAAAACAAAGCATCCCTTCAGTTTTGCCTGCTGTGTTTCACCATTTCCACAGAAGACTGTCCCTCCTCCACCCCACGCTGTCCACAACAGTATTACATATGATTTTGATTAAAGACAAGTCTGCATTATTCAGCTTGGATTTCTGAAGTTCTTCTCCATGTGGTAGGTTTAGTACTGCAGGATCAGAGCCAGAGAATTTTTTTAAGGGAGATTTATATGTTTTCATCTAAGGTGGCCAATGTGAAGAAGTGGAATTTTTACACAAGTGTAGCATATTGGCATTGTACTTCAGATGCATGTTGGCTTTCCTCTCTATTCAGGACAAGATTTTCTTATGCTGAACACTGAAAACAGTGCTTGCTTCTCTGTCAGGAGGATGAAAAGCACAGCTCACACACTTCAGAGGAGCCATCTGACTTTTGGTCTTCCATACTGCTGAATGTCTCACACCCTTTCGTATGGAAAGGGTGCCAAAGAATGCCATCTGGCTCAGGCACTGAGATGAGGGTTAAGCCAACCCAAGAGTTATGGACAGAGCCTTTGTTTGCAACTGGAAATAAAATCCACACACGGATGCTCTCTGATAGTCTTAACTTCAGAATCCCTGTTGTGGTTCCATGAAAGTCACTTGTTGGTCGTCAAAGTGTTTCTATAGGGGCTTTTCTTTTCTTTTTTTTTTTAAATGTGACATGCTTAAGCACATTGTAAGTAGATAAAATAATAAGTTTTTTGCTGCTGGTTTTTGTACATTTTGAATTATGCTTCTGATTTTGGTGCTACTCAGTGCCTTAAAATTGTCTTTGATTCCTTTGGAAGGCAGCACAAGGCAGAGAAGAACATATGTGGTAAGCTGCTGGTTCAATGGCAGTCCCTTGTGGAAAGATAGGAATTAAGTTTCACTGGTGCAAACATCCAGCATCTATAGTCAGAATTCAGTGCAAGCTAGTGGGATTGTCACAAAGCTATTCTTTTCTCTCTGGTCCTTTAAAAGACACACTTTAAAATATAAAAATAACTTCTCCATAATTTATTCTGCTACTTTAAGAAACAGTAGCTAAATTGATTATTATTCTAATGCTACTACTTTTACTGCCCATGATGACCTTTCTCTAGTCTTCAGCAAGTTTGGTTACAGAGGCTGAGAAACAGGAATTCCTGTGTACTCCTACATGACCCAAGCCAGCCTTTGCAGCATGATGTTCTTATATGCTCTGAAAAAAATATCAAAATAGAATGTAAAAGCTCCCTTGAGCTTGGAGTCATAATTAATATTGAAATTTATGTTTACACTTTACAAATGTTTATACAAATATATTTCATAAGGAATATAAGCATGTCTAAAATGAAAGTACTATCACTGTATAAAAGCTAAAAAAGGAGGTATAAGCCTTAGTCTGAAACAAGTTTTACTCACTGTAGGACACTAGTCAAACAATTTACATTAAAGCATCCCCCCTGAAGATCCTATCAAATATTTAAGAAAAGCAATTATATTTTATTAAACTCCCAAACTGGCTCAAGAATCATAAAACAAAATAGAACAAATTGCTGCTTATTGTAACTCAGTACTTCTTGTAATAAAAAGTACTTTCAAGTTCCCCATGAAATTCATCAAGTAAGATAGTATCATTTACCATAACAATACTTCTAAGAAAAAATGACAATTTTCTCTTGAATGATAGAACTGTTAGCAAGAAAATCCATTCAGTTGTATAATATATAGCTGCAATTCCCAGCATATGAAAATTAATAGACATACTATTATTGATGTCAGTGGATTCTGGTTTAAGCTCCACTAAATTTCATGCCAATTTTCCATTTGATGCATTTTCACTCTAATGTTTTACTATAAAAGATTAAGATTTTCTTACATTTATATAACCTTTCACACACCTTTGTATCATGGCCCTCTCTCTGTTCGAGATAAAGACCTACATTCCATGACGATGGAAATAAAGACTTCAGTGCTGCACATATGACTACATGACTCCGCAGATTATTGAGTATGGGATTATTCATGCCATTAAAACTAAAAATAAATATCAACTTGCATAATTGGAACATGGCATTGTATGAGTTAAATGAAGGACATATGCTCTGTTCTTTTAACTACATTATCTTCTCTATATAAACTTTAAAGTGTTAGCTGATTATTAGATACATACTTTTGACAATTAATTTTGAAATATTAAAATCTTTATTCCTCTTCCATCCTTTCACTGTCTAAAAGAAAACTGTAAACTTCCAAATAAATCTTTGGAAACTTTTAAAACACAACTAGTGATCTTTTTCAGAAGGAGCAAAAATATTAAGCTTTGCCCAACTTTAAGCAAATATTTCTTCTTGCAAGTGGAACATCAAAGAACTGGTGCATATAACACATCAAGCTGTAGAGCTGGCAAGTATCCACTGCCATCTCCACATACGAAACGACATAAAAGCACTATCATTTTTCAACATTTTACAGTTGCCATTACAGGCATTTTGCTGTAAATCATCTGCAGCAAATAACAAGCATTATACTGGCTGGAGTAAGAGAATAAAATGCTTATCTGATCATTTGGTAGATCATCTGACACTTGCTGAGAACAGCAGGCTATCACCTGGGATAAAGCACTTCAGTCCAGATGAAGGTACCACTACCAACAGAATTCTGCATAACATGTGTTTCTGGTATGGAACACATGCTGCAAGAAAATAAAAAGAGCCTGAGTATATCTGTCAGCTTGGAGCCTTTGAACCTTTCTGGATGAATACTGCATTAAGCACCAAATCTCTGTGGTGAAATCATGGTTCTCCTGATGATGGAGGTTGTAGTCACTGTGCGTACAGGACCAAGATTTTACCTTGTGTCTTGCTAGAGCACGTATCAACCATGTAATCTGTGCATATTCAAAAAACAACTTTATACCTTGTATCCTCTAAAATACACTCAAAGTAAGCTATAAAGTGTTTTATTCTGTTTTCCATATAAGAAAATATTTTGCCCCTACAACCACATCTCAACAGACCAGTATGATGTATTTTCACCATGATTTAACTTGGAAAAGTTTGAAAGGAGCTTCAAAAAAGAAGGACTGTAACTGATAAATCTTCAAAGAGATAAGAACAATAAGCCTTACAGTTTCAGATTACTCATAATAGATCCAATTTTTGCACTCATATTTTACTTGTTTCTACCAGTAATGACAAAATAGAGCGAATTTTAACCATGGTATTAGATACCATAAGGAGCAAATTCCTTTAAAGTTCTCCCAAAAGTCAATGCTTTGTCACAAGAAAACAATTAAATCAAACTTATGCCTCCAAGGTTAATTTTTCATATAGTAATTGAGGGCCATACAAATCTCAGTCTGCAAATAAGGCAAGTACTTTAGCACCTATCTATCACATCAGTTGGTAAACTCATATCTTGCACTTGATGTGCTGTGAGGTTGAAACCCTAGAGAGGTATGCAAACCTTTCTGAAAATCAGAGTATCAAAGAAGCTTAATACAGATAGGAGAGAAATTGCTGTAGATAATCCATATGCTTGTGTGAGAGAACTGCTGATTGGGAGAAGAGTGAGATCTTTAAACCTGACAGAAACATGATTTTGGATTTTGCACAAAAATCTCCTCCAGACTTATTTTACCCCAAACAAAGTAACTAGACACTTGCTTTCACAGTTCTGTTGTTTTCTTCTGGGTGAAAAATCCATCCTGATTGCAATAAAGCAGTCTGTACATTAGTGCAGCAAGAAGTTATTTAAAAATGTAATCAGTATCATATATCACCACCTTCCACAGGAAGCAATAAAGGTATTTCCTTTAGATATTATTTCAGGAATTTACACTAGAAACACAGGAAAGACCAATTTTCATCTCCAAAAACTTTCACAGCTGTGATCAGAATGACCAAATACATGTACTTCACACAAAGATATAATTTTCAGTTACTTACTGCTATGCTTCCTGTGGGGAGCTTTGCTGGTTGCACCTTGTATGGCATGCTCTTAACTTCGAAGGAAACATTGGAAGAAAGACTATAGAGATCATTCTTTCTCTGGAATTATAGAACAAAAGAAATTATTAAAAACCATGCTGATATTTAAAAGCATTAAAAAAAATAAGCAGAGAAAAAATACAGAGCACTGATTTCCTAAGGCAAAGATGGTTTCTTTTGGTAAAGAATGTAGGAACACTGGGACTTGTACATGTCCATGGGATAAATACAGCACAGAGCTGCAACACAAAGGCCACATGTTCAAATGGGGAAGAAGGGTTAGATATGCAGAAAGACACATACAGTTGTCTCTCTTATATCTCTCTGAAATAGGTGAGTTAGAAGCATGGGCCCAGTTGATGGGGTGTCCATGTTTTAAAACCTTGGCTCTGCTCACCAAGCCCGACAACCGACATGCGTATCTTGAGAAAATTTCCTGGCCTACATTGAGACCAGGTTGGTAGAGCTTCCTGATAGCATCAAAGAAGTGGCTGTGCCTTCCCATCAAAGAACAATAGGAACAAGCATCTTTGCACTTCATTTACACAGGGTCACAGGATCACAGAATCACAGAATAGTTTGGGTTGGAAGGGACCTCTGGAGATCATCTAGTCCAAATTGTCTGCCAAGGCAGGGTCACCTAGAGCAGGTTACTATTAGAATGTGATTCATTTCCTATTGCAGTAGAGCTCAAAAAACCCCACTCACCTTGCTTGTTTACTAAATTGTACCACTGTGAGAGGAATGTATAGCAGCCAGTGTTTAATTGGCTGCCTAGTAAAATATTTATATAGCTGTCATTAAGCACTTCAACAAACCCAAAGATGCAAAGATGAAACAAAATGCATCTCTCTGTCAGTTCTCTGTGTTTCATTTATACTTCCTTATATTTATAAAACATTATTAGATTAGATTCGATTAGGCATTACCTTACCTAGTTTACAATGACTAAAAACTGTTACATCATGTATCTCATGCAGTGATTTAATTAGTGCTTTCACCTCATTTGGTGCCAGGTAGGCAGTGACACACTACACCTGACCAATTGTGAGTCTCATTGTGTTGTTCTTACCTTGACAATAACCTCCCACTCTGTGAAAACTGCCTTAAATGATAGTTGAGTGCTGGTATGTCTGCTGGAAAAATACCTGCCAGTATTTGCTATAAACTGACTTAAGCTCTGATATGTGGAAAGTGCATATCCCTTAAAGGAATGGTTACAACATTTACTGCAATGGATACAAATATTTTCCACACCCATGTTTTGAATCCCATTGAGCTCTTGGCATCATCAGTATCTAACTGGAGCTAGTTTTGAAGGCTATATCCATCAGGTATCAAGTAAATCTTTCAGACAGAAGATCCTGCACTTAGAACATCCTCTTTTTCTTTGTTTTTTCCCAAGGAAGGATGGCTGAATAGTTAACCATTCTCTTCTGGTAGTCAACAGATCTAATTTCATCTCTGCAACTGATTTTTTGGGTGGCACTATTATCTTGTATATCTCTTCTCATGTAAATTTGGGGTACTGATATGGATCTGCTTCGAAAGTGCTTTGATATTCACTGAAAAGCATTAGACAGTTAAGTGCTAATATGGTCAATGGAATCCAGATGGCTAGGAGTTATGGTTGTTAATATATCTCTTTTCTATCTCATTATTATTATTATTAAAACTATTATGTTCCATTTTTGCTACCTATATCAATTCTTTCTTAAATATGATGACCAGATCTGAACAGAAAGACAGAGCCTTGTTAGTAAAGCAATCTCTCATTTTGTCACCAGATTCTTATCGTATTTGGAACATTGCTGTCACTTCCTAAATGCCCTTCTGCAAAACTCTTTCTCCTTCCTTCTATTTCTCACACATTTAGGAGTTCTGTTTCATTGAGAAGATTTGGTTTCTATATGATTACTCAACATCTTTTCCTCCCTGGTGTTTTCTCTGATATTCTCTCTTGCATCAAAGGCATAAACCCTCCCTAAGAATTGCTTTTCCCCTTTCAGCTGTCTTGCTGTTTTTTCAGCTGAGGTAAGAAGATCCCTTGATAATCTGGGCTACTATTTCTTCCCTTCACTGATGGAGAAAGGTTTGTTTGTGAAAATGACCTGAAAGAAGCATAATCTAAACCTGGGAGTCAACTTGGATGAAGTTGGATGACCATGGCCCAACTCAAAGTTTTCACAGAACTCCTGTGGTTTGAGAGCACATCTGGAGATTGTCTACTCCAAGTACAAACTCAGAGCAGAGTCAACTAGAGCAATATACTTAGGACTACATCCAGTTGGGTTCTGAATACCTCCACAAATGGAGACTCCACAAACTCAAGAAACAACCTTTTCCAATATTTGACTACCCTCGCAGTAAAAAGTGTTTTTTCTTATGTTTAAATGGAATTTCCTGTATTTCAGTTTGTGCTTCTTTCCTGTTACTGGATATCATTGGAAAGAGCCTGCCCTGTTATTGATGATTGGTTAGAATCGCGAGGGCATATGAACATGACTAAAGCTATGGATGAGCTGCTAAAGTATAAGATGCAGTCCGACTAGGCCCATGAGAAAGTCTGAGATAACAGGGCCATGAGAAAGCAGCAATGACCTTGTGTATTCTAACTTGGGCTGAAAAACAGGAGCTTGGAATTTGAAAAACAAAAGCACTTAACAAGCCACCTGTGTAAACAATGGAAAGCAGTTGGGATGATATCACCTATTAGTCAAGTGCCAATTAGGAGCCTAATCTCTGTAATATGTAAGAGCCTATTATGCAGTGTATATTAAGTTGCTTTCTATCCTCAATAAACGGAGTTTTTGGATCCTTACATTAAGTTTCCAGAGCTTTCCTCGCCGACAAATTTGGCGCCCGAACAGGGACCAAGGGGGGGTCCCTAGAAGCCAAGTCGGGCTTCTGGGCTGGAATCAAGTCGGATTCCGAAAGAACCAAGTCGGGTTCTCGTGGCCGCGGTCGGACGAGTAACTTCGGTCGGTCTTGTCGTGCAGCGCAAGTAGGCGAAAGGGTTGGACGAAAAAGAGCTCAACTTGCCGCCACCAGACGCCTCCTTTTTCGGGGATTTTGGACGGCGAAAGAGTTACGCTCCGCGTCCCACGTTGCGAAAAGAGCTCAAACCTGCCGCTGCCGAAAGCCTCTCGTTCGGGGATTTTGGACGGCGAAGGGATTAAGTTCCGCGCTTCCGGCAACGAAATTGTTGGACCCAGCGCCCGGGAAACTCCTGAAGAAGGGGACCCGCCGACAAAGCCGCAAAGTCTCGTGGAAAGGCTGCACAGCGTGGTAACGCGTGGTTTAGGTAATGGAGAGGCAGGCGGCACTTTCATTACTCCAATGCTTTCTGGGAAAGCGGGGAGTTAAAGGGTTAGATTTAAAAAAGGATTTACCGGAATTGCTTAAGGTGGGGTTTGCGAAAGGGTGTTTTGCGGACCCCAATACGGTCTTTGATGAAAGTGAATGGAAACGGTACGGGGATAAGTTGTGGGAGGATTTACTGAATGACGATAAAGTGGCTAAAAAGTTGGGCAAGCAGTGGCAGGCTGTTTCTAATGCTTTGCAACAACATAAAGCCGAACAGCAGGCTGCTCGAGCTGCTGCACAGCGTTTGGGAGACATCGGCAATCCTTTTGCTGAGTCTCCGTGCCCGCTGCCTCCCTCGACTAATGTTATACATATCCCGCCTGACTCCCAGAGGCAGGCTTTTATTACTCCCACTGCCCCTTCCCTAGAATTCCCTAGCCCGTCCCCTGAGTCCCAGCAGATCTCGTCTACCGGGGCTGCGTCACCCCCCTCACCCGATACATCAAATAATGTCGCGATAGAGCGACGAAAGCTCTGGCAAGGCATTGCCGCAGACGCTTTGCAAGCGGGAGACAAAGAAGCGGCAGAGGTTTTAACTAATGCCTTCCCGGTAGTTTATACTCCGGCACGGGAAGGTGGTTGGGTAGCGACTATCACTGCCCTCGATTGGAAATTGTTGTCGCAATTGCGTGCTACCGTTAGTGACAGTGGAATCCAGGGCGAGCCTGCCCGACAAATGTTGAATTATATTTGGGGTAGCAACTTGCTTTTGCCAGCAGACATTAAGAGTATTATGAAGTTGGTTCTTTCACAGCACCAGCAAATGCTTCATAATGCACACTGGCAAGCACTTTGCCAGGAATCTGTAGCGATTCAGAGACCGGCAGATGACCCTTTGAACGGGGTTACGCTGGACGAATTGATGGGTTTGGGACCGTACACCAGGTTGGAGGCACAAACGTTGATAGGGCCCGATAAGATCAGGGAATCTATGCGCCTAGCCCGTCTCGCTCTAGATCAGATCAAAGCTCCGGGAGGAATTCCGTCATATATGGGGATCAAGCAGGGAAGAGAAGAACCTTTTGGATCTTTCGTAGACAGAGTTGCTAATGCCATTCAGTCAGCAGGGGTTCCTGAATATATGTACGGAGCGCTGCTAAAACAGTGTGCGCTGCAGAACTGTAATTCTACAGCTCGCAGTGTCATTGTCACACTCCCGGGTAATTGGTCAATTGAGGAGCTATTAGAGCGAATGGCGCACGTACCCCAGGGGCCTAATGCCATGTTAGTGAACGCAGTTAGGGAGCTGGGTGAAGGCTTAAAGGAGCAGGCGAAGGCTACTAGCTCTCAGGTTTTAGCCGCGCTTGCACCCTTACAAGCTCCGTCCGGAGCCACGCAGCGAAATAGAACAGCACAAAGACGATGCTTTCGGTGTGGAGCGTACGGACACATGCGAAGAGAGTGCCAGGCCGGTCCGGTGTGGTGTCCTCGTTGTCAGCAAAATACGCATGTTCCTGCTATGTGCTGGCGTGGATCGGGAAACGGGAAAGCCAGCGCGAAGGGGTCCCGCGCCAAGACACAAGTGACGGCTCCAACCACTCACAGCTTCCCGGCTCAGACTTCGCACTGCGACCCGCAACCAGAGGGAGTCTCGGCTTGGACCTGGCGACCACAATAGACTGCACCCTCATAGATCAGCGTCCTCAAAAGCTACCGACAGGAGTGTACGGACCAGTGTTAATTGATGGCAAACC